ATTTGTAAAGAACATTACGTCTAAACAGCCCTGACTTTTTTTCTGCTCCGTTTTTCTTTTTCCTTGAATGAGCACTCCACGACTCGACGGCAGCCATACCAGCACACTCCACCCGCACCGACTGAATCACTGAAGCAAATCATTCAGAGCTCCCCTGCTGTGCTTCTGTTTGCATATGAACTCATACAAGTGTGCGTTTTGGCGTGTGTGTGTGTGTGTGCATATAAAATCAAATCAAATGTATTCATGAAGGCTCTTTTAACAAGCAGGTTTGTCACAAAGCGCTTTGATGAGAACAAAGGACACAAATTCAGATGAAACTCCAGATAAACAACAAAAAAGAACAAGAGCAGTGTGTGTGTGTGTGTGTGTGTATGTGTGTGTGTGTGTTCTTGATGGATGTGAGGTTTAGTTTTGAGTCAGAGGCAGCAGCAAAAGCCTAAGTCTGAGAGTGTGTGTAGGATGAGCCTCCTACCACGTTCCTCCTTGTCTCTCATCAACTGTCTTTCTGTCTCCCCTCTGTCCCTCTCTTTCTTTTGTGTGTCTTGTGTAAAATGTCACCGCACACACACAACGATTTGATCGCTCACTTATTGATTGATAAAGGATATTTCACGTTGAAAGAAAAGTTTAGGAGTAAAGCAAGCAAACGGCAAGAACAGATGAACAGCAGTCTGCATCCTGGACTGTGCATATATTTCTGTGCGTGTGTGTCTGTGTGTGTCTGTGTGTGTGTGTGTGTGTGTGTGTGTGTGTGTGTGTGTGTGTGTGCGTGCGTGTGTGCAGGTTTGTATCCCTCACAGTGATTAAAGCAAGTGGGCGGCAGCAGCAACTGGTCTGCCTGTGTGGCTCTGCATAGCAGACATGTTTCTCACTGCTAGATATTACTCATTTCCTCAGCCCTTTGCACACACAAGCGTACACACACACACTTGACACACATGCTCACAAGCACAACAGAGACGGATAGCAGACTCAGTTTTTCCCTTCAGTTTGGTGGGCTCGCTGGTGTTATTCATGCGTTCAGAGATCAGAGGCAGGGCGTAGCTGGAGGCTGCTGATCTCTGCAGGTGTTGGAGCGGTGAAGGAGCACAGGAAGGAGCTGGGGGCGGCTTGACCCTCTGGGGGGTGACTAGAATATGAATGACTGCCAACTTTGGGACAGCTCAGCCAGCACTAAGGTCAGTGTTGCATCCTATCACAGCAGCCGCCAACTTCATCTACCCGATTGTCCAACTCTCTCTCCCTCGGCTGTCTGCTTTTCTGTCGCTGACTCTTTTAATCCAAGTTTCATTGAAAGGAATACTTCAGCTAGTTTGTCGCTGATATTCGGCTGATGTGTGTTCTGAGGTTTGCGGTCATGAGTATGGACGTACGTTTAGCACTTCTACCGATAAATGCATGAAGAGAAAAAAGGCGGGATGATGTTGAGATGTGCAAATATAAGTTTGAATTTATTTGCAGTTTGACAGAAAGGGCATTAATAAGATACTTGTTTCTGCAAAACCGTGCACGTTATTGGTAGTCTTTTATTTTTTTTTACTAAATAAAGAGCTTTTAGTTTGTGTGGATTGGAGGAAAAGCACAACATCATGCTGGCAGTCTCTGTCGATGTATTGAAATGTTGCATTAAAGCCCTCCAGCTTGGTGTGCACGTCTGCACAGTGTAGGAGTGTTCTGTTAGGAGACGCTTCTTTTCAAACTCCTCCACATGCACACTCACATGCTTTGTTTTGTTGTACTCAAACAAGTTTATATTGGGTCTGTTTTGATGAAGCTGGTGGAAGAGTAATCTGACGTTACCCAGAACTGTTTTTATTTTTTTGCATTTTTAACAAATCAGTGTTTTCTACAGCGTCTTTTACAGAAAACAGACTAAAGGGTAAAATCAAATTGACCTGTTGAATATTGAGGGTAACATAACGGAACTATATTACTTAGCAAGGAAATTTAAAATGGAACCGCTCAATTATTTTAAAAATACTTTTTGCATAATTTTTTTCTTGCAAGTAAAAAGACGTGTTAATGCCATCTTGTGTATATAATATTTCATTAGCCGTACAATAATAGTCTTTTGGGAACATGAATACATTTTTTGTGATGAATTTTGTAAAAAAAAAAAAAATTACAATTTTTTTTTTTCACTTTCTTTTTACCATCTTCACAATGTAATACTGAATAACTGGTGACGTACTCTGTAACTACTATTTGCTGTAAATTAATACTATAAAATGTAATGAAACTGTTGGTTAAGAGAGGGTTTGGAATTGTTTTTGACTTGTTGAACATTTATAACAAGTGTCTCGTTTTTCTATTTCAGAAACGCTTAACTTCTTTGAAAGTAGGGTGCCATTTTGAACACTTTTAGTGCATTTTTTTAGGGACACTTTGCTGCTTCTAGTCCAGTCTTTGACTGAATTACAGACTCTTAAAGAGTTTTCCTAAGACCTCTCGTGCTTTTTTTTACGTTATCTCCATCCCGTCTTGCTATGATGAGTTCTGTGGAAAGGATTTTCACTTCCTCAGTGTTGAGATGAGATGATGCTTAGGTGGTCCTTTACTTTAATTACATACTGTGTCCCCTCAGTGCGGACCGAACTTGTAAAAAGGGTCTTCTCCTACTCCGCTCCTGTTTCCTGGAACACCTTGCAAAGAAATCTGAAGCGCTCGACTTTGACCTCTCTGAGGGATTTTAAACAACTGCTACAAACCATTGCAGACATGTTCCTGTTTTTAGTGTTTACATCAGCTTATAATGCAGCAGTTTTTGTTTCGTTCTTTTATATAATTTCTTCTATTTACTTTTTCATGTTATATGCTTTTTACATTATTGTCTACTGTTGTCTGCACCTCATCTGTGTTCTTTGTTTAAATCAGGTCTTTCTTGAAAATGAGTCCGCGTGGCTCACTGAGACTGTATAAATAAAGGTTGAATAAAAAAAATGTTCAGTGCCAGACTTAATGCAGACACTCCACATCGCTTCATCCTTGTTTCATTAAATCTGAAGATTTTGCTTCATTTCTTGACTGAACAAGAGCCAGAAAGTCTGTTTGTAATTCATTTTTTTTATGTTAAAAGATGCTGTGCTTCATCTCACCTAAAATTAACCAAACTGTCAGATTAGTCCTTTTTATCTGTTTTAAGTTCTCATTGATGTTCCTCTTATGTCGTAGCTAAGCTTTCCCTGGGGCCAAAGCAACAGCTGTGGACCTTACATGGATGGGTGTGCACTTTGACAAATTTTATTGATGGAAAAATGGACTGCAATCAGGTTTTAGAAGCTCTTCACAAACTTTGGAAATAGGAAGTGCCAGCGCTCAAGTGCCATTTGTTGATTTATGCAAACTAAATTAAAATCTTCAACAACAAAAAAATATGCTCAATCCTATTTTTATTTTTTAAAAAGTATAATAATATTAAATTTGTTTAAAATTGAATCTTAAATACAAGAAACTCTGAAAATAAACAGTTCTCTGTAGGTGTCATACAGTGGACCAGCAGTGAAATCACAACAGCAGCGTTTTCATCGACCTAAGAGTTGTCCATCATCTCATTTTCACTGTTCGGCCTTATTGCATCCATCCTGCCAACGTCTGGGACAATGAATCCTCCTTCTTCCATCACTCTGTTGTCAGTTTTCCACTCAGATGCACAAACAGCTTGCTCTGCTCTAACACTTCTGTTTTTGGACCAAGTCACTTGATGAGCAACAAGCATGCCTACCTCTCTTTAAAGTATCCCCATCCAACTTCTACAGCCAACTGAATGTTTACATGCCCCTGCATGTGTGTGAATATATATATATATATATATATATATATAATGTATGTATGTCTGTGTGTGGACCCAGTTGCCATGGTGACTGTGTGGATGGTGAGACGGCAAAGAGTTGGTTTTAACAGTTGACAGACTTGCGGGTGAGTGCGGTGCTGAGTGGCTGTGGCAGCAGCTGGAGCGGCGCCGCTCGTGGAGGAGGGAACGACTGGAGTCGCGGCTCGTCATTTCAAAAAGGGAGCTCATTTAAAACATTTAGAGAAGAATTAGTAGAGCTCCCCCGCACTTCTCGCTGAATGAAAGAAGGCTGTAAACTCTCTGACACATCTGAGAACTCTTAACACACACACAAAGACCCAAACAATGAAACACGTTCACATATTTATTTTTTCCCCAGTCCGAAAAATGGCACGTTTTAACAGATCAACATGGCTTACATGTCTGCACACTGTCACACATATTTCCCCCACACACCCCCATGCTGTGATGCCTAATCAACATGCAAGGACACAAAGCCTGTGTGTACAACAACTGGTGGTAATATCAACAGTGTTTCTGTCAGCTTTGGTTGGGCAGTGACCAGCTTTGCCTGTCACTAGGGGAGTGTTTACAGCCACTTCAGGGAGTGTATGTTGGTCTGTTGTTGTCTGTGTGTCTGAAAGAGAGGGGGTGAGGGGGTGTTGGTAGTAAGCTTGTGTAGAATACAGAGAGCACCCGAGAATGTCATGGGGGTGGTTCATGAAAGTGGTAGAAAAGCATATCTACATATTCCAATCATCCCCCGAGAGTCAGAGATGAAAACTGTCCTGCTGTGGGGGCTCTGAGTGTGTACGTGCGCGTGCATTTGCACACATGCTGCACTGCTTCTGAACTTCATTGGCTGCTGAATGTATTTTTAGCCTGCATGTGGGAGTAATGTGTTTGAATGAAACGAGTAAGTTGGGCAGTCTCAGTCGCACCACAGTGCACACAGGTAATAAAACATGTGCAAAAAATATCAAACAGCTACGAGTTTCTAACCTCTTGAAATTAGTTTGGAAGAGGGAGTGAGTATCTGATTACCCTCCATCTGTCTGTTATAGACAAATGTTTGTATGCATGTCTGACCATACTGACAGCTAAGTCTTAACTACAGCGGATGCCAGGACCTAACAGACTGTTCTTCCCCAATGTGCACACTTAATCTCTCCTACTTCTGTCTCTCCCTTTCCCCACCTTATCTCTGTTCCTGTAGGTGAGTGGTGCTTCAGTGGAAAGGCATCGTCAGTGACCCGTCAGTGATGCTGTGTACCAGCCTTCCCCTCTGTCCACGCCCCTCGTTTTCCCGTGAGGCCCATGTGACCTAGCCTACACTAACACACAGGGGGCCCCCACTGCTGCTGGAGCCCACCCATGAATCCAAGCCCTGAGCGCAGCAAAGAGTGCCTCCCTCCCAAGAAGAGGGAGTCTCGGCAAGGATCTGCAGAACACCAAGTTCCCCTGGATGAGTTTAAACCCCCTGTGCCATTTCGCAGTCGTCACAGCACAGGTAGAGGGGAGGGAGGCAGGGAGACCAGTGACAGAGATAGAGTCCTTTGCAACCCAAACCTCCATTCTCTACATAGTCCCCCACCCATCCCTGCTCCAGCACCAGGCCTCCCTGTGCCATTACCATGGGCCCTAAGTTACTCTCCACCTGTCTCCCTTTTCCCAGGACAGGTTACTGATAGGCGGAGCTCAGGGTCTCCAGCTTGGAGAGATGATCCTCTTGCCTCAGCTCTGCCCCACCACTCCAGGTGGCTTTCATTGCCACCCACTCATTCTACATCATCTTCTTCCTCCTTTAAGACTCCTTTGCCAGCCAGTTCTAGAGAGATGTGGTCTTATATTAACAGTGGGCGGCGTGACTATAGCCCATCTCTGTTTTCTCCTTCATACTTGTTTAGTCCCCAGTCACTGTACCCCACAGACCCCAACCTAGTTGAGGTAAGATCCAGGTACTTGTGCAAGAAGCCTAATGGCTTAGATGGGCCAGGCAGCAGGACTGCCTCAGCCTCCAGACCTCTGCTCGTAGGAGAGTATGGGAATGATAGCAGCAGATGTAGACTGAATGTTAGCCCACACACTTTGCATGCCAATGGTGGACGGAAGCAGCAGGAGGACCTAACATCCCCTGTTCATTCTGGAGGGGCATTTCTATTAGACTCTCAAGCTCAAGAGGACCCTGAGCAACATTCTTCCCTGCAGGAAAGACATGAGTCTGGGAAGACCAACTCCACTTCACTCTCCATTAGTCCCCATCTCCTTGGACCAGACTCCAGGACATGCAGAAGTGGGCTATTGGACCACCTGGGGGCTACACCAACTGAGACCCAATTCTATTATTCATTGGGATCGATCTCTCATCCCAGCCCTTACACCCAGGCATATCCACTCTACAGCTCCTCAGGAACATTTCCATACAGTGTGCACAAGGAGCCAGGGCCCAGGCAGCACAATATAAGGAACTCACCGCACTCACCCCTGGGTCTGCCAAACAGCCATGATAGGTCACAGAGAGACCGGGACAGAGACCAAGAAAGGGACAAGATCCTCCAGAGAGACAGAGAACGAGTCAAAGTAAAAGAGAAACAGCTACACCAGGACAAAGACCAGGAGAGGGACAGTGAGTGTGAGAGACGACGGAACAGAGACAGAGGGAGAGCGGTTTCTCCTTCCAAGCCTTACACCTCATCCCCGGCCTTCCACCCATCTCCCCCTGCACTCCTACCTCATTTCACCAAGGGGTCTCTGATTGAATTGGGCAGTGGTCGATTAAAGCGAGTAGAGGAGCTGCGGACGGAGGACTTTCTGAGGAGCGCAGACACATCCCCAGAGTTCCACCTGAGCACCTGCAAAGTGCTGCTGATTTCCCCCAGCAGCACACAGGGCTTCAGCCACCTGCAGGTCCACCTCACAGACCGCAACACTCAGGTTAGCTTTCTCCTAATTTGCCTGACATTTACAATGTCCTATGATATTGTCTCAAATACTTTAGTTCATATCAGTTAAGCTTATTTTCTACTATTCACTAAACTCATGTTGTTGCAATAATAAATGGCAAACTCTGAGTTTAATGTCATCTTGTGGTTTTGTGTAGGAGTTACTGCAGGTCTTGGTGGAGTACCCATTCTTTGTGCAAGACAGGGGCTGGTCTTCATGCTCTCCTCAGAAAACCATGCAGCTGTACGGTCTGTCGTGCCGCCAGCTCACGGAGGGTGATGTATGCCTGGCCCTCACCCCAGTGGCCAGCCAAACTCACCGGACACACCCGCGTGCCAGCTCCAAAGCCCATCGCACACAGTTCCTCCCCAGGGCCGAGGCAGAGTCAAGCAACTTGCAAAGGGAGGAGATGCCACCCCCACCTCCACCTCCCCCTCTTCCTCACCAACCACCTCCTTCTACAGCATGCCCTCCATGCACAATGTCCGCAGGGCCTCTGGCAAAAGAGCAGCGGCGGCTTCGCAAACGGCGCTGGTCTGCACCTGACGTACTTCCCTCAACAGGAACTGACGAGAGCCTCGTGGATTTACCTCATGGCTCCAAGCTAATGAAGTGGCAGTAGAAACTTGCACATGTACACTTACACACACACGCGCGCGCAAGCATAAGCACATACACACCCTCCTTGTCTCTGTTGCACCCACAAAGACAAACAATGGAGAGACCTCAAGGTAGGGTTGCAGGGAAGGAATACAAAACAAAATTTACAGATGATCACTCACTCTGGTCTTGCTGCACCTTTCATTTCCTCTCCTCTCCTCTCCATCAACCTAATTGTACTTAGCACAGCCCTGAAAGCAGCAGCAGCTCAGACATCTATGAATGACTCTTTACAACCGCACTGAAGACATTCAGTGAGACAATCAAGCACTTGTGTGTGTTCACTCTGTTTTTGTTATGGTTGTCTCACACACCTACAGTACTTAATGAAAGTAACTGCTGCAGGGTATTTTCAATCAGTGTTACGAAACTAAACGCTATTGAGGAATTACAGAAATATATGAACAAAAATTGACTATACGTTTATCTCTATATATATATATATATACATATAAATAAATTACATATGTTATATACAGTAAATATGCTAAACAGATTAAATGCAATCTCTGTCAATCTTGCAATGCATTTTTGTTTAGGTTTTTATTTTTGATTTCTTGCTTCTGAGCCAATGTCTTCATGCCGGCCTGGTCAGGCACAAGTGAATGTATGAGCAACTCTTCGCCTTTTTCATTCTCATCACTGGGAGTCGTCTCAATGGGTTGTTCATCAAGGCATTACTCTCCAATATGTTCTTAACATTATCTCTGACAAAGGGAGAACACTAATGAAAACTGCGTAACAGACAATCCCACGCACACAGACTGGTCTGTGCCACGCCGCCTCGACACTCGTGGTGTTTTTCCATTAAAACTGAATGATGGAAGGAGTAAAAGGTGCAGTATGGCTTAAGAGTAATGGTGCTAATAACACGTTGGAACATGATGCTTTGTGAATGCTCTTGACCCCTGTGTACTGTACGCTTCTGTTCACCGTCTCAATTTTTTAATGTACTGTATTTGTTTGAAGGCAGGGAAAATGACGAAAGTATTCTAAACTCTGATATGGGTACATCATCTGAATCAGCACTCTCTCTCACTTTAGTTTTTTTTTTAATTATTATTATTATTATTTTCAAAGAGAAAAAAATGAACCTGTTTATTTTTCTTTTTAAATGTTAAAGCTACAAAAATGTATATTTTTAAGAAATTGTGAATCTGTTCTATGATGTTCGCTAGAAATAAATGAGAAAAAAGCTTTATAGATTAAATTACTGGTGTTGTTTTATTTTCTATATTTGTTGTAATACAATTTTTTAAATTAAAATAGAATATGTGGCAAATGTGAAATTGGCAGAACATGAGAAAGGGAAAGAAAAGAATCGTTCACATTCATGGTATGTTTTGCACAACCACCTAGCTGCACTTTGGACAAAACAATAAAAAACAAGTCACAATTTTTTTATAAAAGAAAATTTTGGGAGTCACGATAAAATATATATATATATATATATATATATATATATATATATTTGATTTCTCAATAATGCAGATAGGTGTACCATGCAGTCATTTATACTATATATACACATATTTACTTTGTCGTGATGATCACAGCTTCATTTGTTCGTTCCCGCCTTGAAAAAAAAAAAGTCTTAATCTTCCAAAGTCATATTCCCCTCCGAGTTTGACGTGAGAAATGAAGTTTGTTCTTCTTTTTGTCCCAGGTTAAATCTTTGTAACAGCTCCACTGCAAACAAGGGAACCACCTGGCCAACAGGAAACAGGAACACGCCATCATTTGTGTGTTTATGGCGACATCTACTGGCTGAAGATACAACTGCGAGTCTAATCTGAGTGTGGGAAGTAAAAGTTTAATGTTTGCCATAAAAAACAGAAAATATGGTCATTCTAATTTCTTGTTGTTTGAGAAATGATAAATCAAGCCCTTGATTGCAAATTAAACTGACTAGTTTATTTAAAAATAAAAAATAAACATGTCTAATTATAACTTGAATTTCCTTGTTTAAATATGAACAAAACTGTTTTAGGATCTTTCAACCAACCTGTGCCATGATGAGCTTCCTGGTTTTAGGTACATTTGGATCTGGATACTCTTCTCCGAAACAGAGCTCAATCTCGTAGGAGGGTGTGGACCCCCTCCCTTGCACGTGCTTCTGCAGAGCTGCACAGATCAAATATAATAAATTGTAGCAACCACACATCCTCTATCAGTAAAAACAGATTTTGAACAAAGGAGATGCCTTCAGTAATACCGTTAAGAAACATGGGTATATCCAGGAGTTTGAAAGTCTTTTCCCGCTCCAGTTTGTTTGGTTGGTCAGAATGTTGGGCCATGGGACCGCTCCAGTACACCCTGCCCTGGCAGAACCGCTTAATAAACACCCCATCTGGCGCCACCCATAATAGCACGCCCCTTTCAAGGTGACTGAGCAGACGATTCATTGCTTCAGCCATGCCAGAGGGCAGAGAAACGGAGGCTGGAGAAGGGAAAGAGAGCTGCTGGGCAGAGCAGGGCCCGTAGATCCGTTCATTCCCCAAAGGAACACGACCCTGAAGAATGAAGCACCCATCTGGGCTCCAGGTGGTCACTTTTGTCACTGTGTTGCCTTGATACTGTAACCTCACCTGCATACGAAAGTCTGCACACACACAAAGCCACTAAGTACCTGGGAAATACATTTAGAAGACAAAGTATCTTTGTTTGTTGAATGTTTCTCACCTGATATATTGAGTATGGGACTTAAGAAGTTCATGGGAGAAGGAGCTGGATTTTGAATAGTTTTCTCTGTCGTCTCGTAGTACTTGTGCTCCCTCAGTGGGTCTTATAAAACCAGAGACACAGGTAGGTCCAAACAGGTTAATGTGCACAACGGGAGAAAAATAAATTGTGCTATTTGTTCAAAATACATAACTCGGCCCTAAACCAACATGATGCGCTTCAACAAACAGAATAAGGCCCAGACGTGTTTTTACAAACCCTCACTGTAGTACAATGTGCAAAACATCTAAGATTTAATTTATTAACAAAATACTGGTAATAGTGTGCCGAGTGCTGAACCACAAAAACTGAAGTCGAAGTCAGTGCTGTTAGAGATGCTGTCACTAAAGTTAGAGTTGTGAACAAGCTCTAGATTTGTTCTCTGTCAACATGAGTACAGTCTGAGAACGAATGCTTCAGCGCCTGAACTTACCAAAAGCAACCAAACTTAAATAACCACTAAAATTAAAGACACGGTAACCTGCAGTCAGTCTACCTGTGGAACACAGCAGTTCTTATCTGAAAGGTTTGACTTTGACTGGGTGATATAATGGGCCTTGTATCTGGACTGCAATGTTTGCAGATGACATTGTGATGTGTAGTGAGAGTTGGGAGCAGGTGGAAGACAGCCTGGAGAGGTAGAATCTGTAAATTAGGAAAAAGACAGAATAAATGTGTGTAAATGAGAGGGAGACGGGTGTCTCGGGAAACTAAGTGGGTGAAGAACTGGACACAAAAGAGCTGAAGCAGCTGCTTTGCCGCTGATAAGTGTGACTCCACTCGGCTCTCCTCTTCTTGGTTCTTCTCATGTGTAGGCGGCCACAGTGACTTGTTTTCCTGCTCTGTTGGTGGTATCATAACTGGTCATTGTGGTTGAGCCACTCCGTCCATTTTGGTCCTTAATCGCTCTATAGACTTTAATTTCTTTATCTTATCCTGGCACTGCTTATAAGTCCAGGTGTAGCCATGCTGCTCCATCACCTCAGATATCTCACTGTAAATGCACACATTTCTTGTGGCACCATCCGTCAACACAATCAGAGAAGAAATGGAGGTTCAGATGAAGTTGGAAAAATTCAACACTGTGCATTATATTCTGTTCTGAGTCCTTCGTTTTACTTCTTTTCTTACTTTAAAGATGAAATGTACAACAAAAACGTGTTACACTAAAGCAGCTGAATCTATTTCCAAAACCCACTCAACCATGACCTAAGTTAATGTTTATAGATCCTTATACTTAGAAAGAACTCACCTCTGTGGACCCTAATTATATTCCAGTTTGTGTCCTAAAGAATTCAAAAGACTGACTTACCAGAACACGATTTTTCTTCTTTGTATTCAAACGATTCTTTGTGGAAATGAGGCTTCAAAAACAGAAAAGAAAAATTTAGTTCTAACGAGGTTTAGAACAGAGATATATTTTTTCACTACAAGTTGTGACTTTAGGTAAAACTTTTATTTTATACCTCCTTTTGCCAGCTGAAGAATGTAAAGGCTTCTAAAGTTTATTCAGAGTTTGTCATTTGTATTTCTGACGTTACCTGGTTGTCCAGGTAAGCGGGACTCCTGGGAGACTGTTTCACCTGTTTGAGCACTTGATAGTTGGTCTGAGGACACACTGGGGAGTGGGAACAAGTGGGTTCGAATGAGAGCTCAGCTTGAAGTTAGAGAACAATGCAGCTTGTAGTTATAGAGTTCTATTACCTGCTGGTTTGGCTGATGAAGTGTCAGGCTGGATCTGGTAGACCTTGTACGGCTCAGTGATGTCCAGCTGGTTGCGTTCAGGGACCTCCTGGAAATCTGAGCTCTTGTTGAGAGCGCAGCGAAGTCGAGTCTTCCACATGGTGGGGTCCGCCTTATCCCTGCCCTCTCTGTATTTACCCTTGTACACAGCCCAGGCCTGAATATAATCAGTGCATGACATGTTTACTTAGAAAAGCCTGCATTCAAAAAAGGCTTTTTGTTTTGTTTAATTGAAGGTTATGCTCGGTTAAAAGTTTGTATTGATCTGTTTTGCACTTTGTGTATTACCTACATATCTGCATGTGGTCTAACAAAGACAAAGAAGTCAAACGTTGGGCTTTGTTGGTGGTATTTTCACATTATTCTGGAAAACAATGACCTGTTTATGGCATGTTGTCATTTGAAAGAACCTGTCTGCAAAACAGAAGGTTGTTTTCCAACAAAGTTCACTCAGGTCATCTGGACAGGTTCTTTTTTTTTGTTGACACATTTCGTACTTTGTTAGATTTTTTTTTTTACCTGGATTATTGAGTATTAACTTTTTTTTTTTTATTAATCAACATTTATTTACACAGGTTAGTCTCATTGAGCCTCAAGGACTCATTTACAAGAGAGACCTGATTTAAACAAAGAACACAGACGAGGTACAGACAACAGTGGACAGTCATATAAAACGTATATAAAATGAAAAGTAAATAGAAGAAATCATAAAAATGAAACAAAAACAGCTATAAAGAAATGTAAAATACTAAAAACAGGAACATGTCTGTGTTGGTTTTTGCCATGAACTTAGCAGTTGCTTACAATCCCTTAGAGACGTTAGAGAAGATGGGCCTGTGATCGGAAAGTTGCAGGTTCAACTCCTGGCACCGTCAACATGAAAATCCATCCATGCAGCGGCTTGAGCAGGGAGGCCCAGACATCTCTTTCCATAGCCACCTCAACATCAAAATGTGGGTGGAAAAGGTGAAACACCCACACCTGCCTCCACCCTCATTTGCTCCACTCTGGGCCCCTGAGCAAGACCATTAACCCCTAGCTGCTCCCAGAAACAGGTCTCTGTTGAAAATGAGTTCTCGTGTCTTAATGAGATAACCTGGATAAATAACGAGTAAATGGAAAAAAGAAATGATGTTGAAAGAAACTCACTGCTAAACGAACCACACTGTAGATGTATTTCTTTTTCAGTTTTGGTGCCTTGTTTTTTAATATGTTAGTAGTAGTTTTAGAATGTTGTTAATATTTTTCGCTTCATGTTTTTATTTATATTTCTTGTTGTTGTTTTCTTTATTTGGGGGGGCGAGTCGAGACGGTTCTTCTCGTCCTAAGCATTTCATTACATTTTTGACCTTGTGTTGATTTTGCACATGACAAAAAAACCTAACCTGAACCTAATGTCACCGTAATCAATGGAGGGAAGGAAAGTCACAGTTACAAGGTGTTTCCTAGCGTTCAGAGTTAAACAGGATCTGTTTCTGAAAACAAACCTAGTTTAACTTTCAATTTCTTTACCAAGTTTTCAACATGGGGCATGTCCCAAGCATGAACTTTGAAGCATGTTCTTTTATTTTCCCCAAGTAGAATGTAGACACTATGAGAACATCTGTGCATTTTATCAACAATATCTTTAAGTTTAATGTTTGCACAAAAGGTTAGTTTCAGAAAGGTCGTCGTGTGTTTTGTATTTTTTTGTTGTGGACAAACTTTACAACAAGTTAATTAACAACAAAAGATGCTAAAACTGTTCAAACATTTGAACAAAGTCAATAATACTCTACTTGTCTATTTAGAAAACGCTTACAAGTGGTTTAAAAAGGATCCCCCCCCCCCAAAAAAAGACCTGCTCTCTTTAAACTGCTCTCTTTAAACTGTTCTCTTTAAACTGCTCTCTTTAAACTGCTCTCTTTAAACTGCACTCTTTAAACTGCACTCTTTAAACTGCTCTCTTTAAACTGCTCTCTTTAAACTGTTCTCTTTAAACTGCTCTCTTTAAACTGCTCTCTTTAAACTGCACTCTTTAAACTGCACTCTTTAAACTGCACTCTTTGAACTGTTCTCTTTAAACTGCTCTCTTTAAACTGCTCTCTTTAAACTGTTCTCTTTAAACTGCTCTCTTTAAACTGCTCTCTTTAAACTGCTCTCTTTAAACTGCACTCTTTAAACTGCACTCTTTAAACTGCTCTCTTTGAACTGTTCTCTTTAAACTGCTCTCTTTAAACTGCACTCTTTAAACTGTTCTCTTTGAACTGCACTCTTTAAACTGTTCTCTTTGAACTGTTCTCTTTAAACTGCTCTCTTTAAACTGCTCTCTTTAAACTGCACTCTTTAAACTGTTCTCTTTGAACTGTTCTCTTTGAACTGTTCTCTTTGAACATTTCTCTTTAAACTGCTCTCTTTAAACTGCTCTCTTTAAACTGCTCTCTTTAAACTGCTCTCTTTGAACTGCTCTCTTTAAACTGCTCTCTTTAAACTGCTCTCTTTGTCACGTGTGATGTGACGATCTAAACCCTGTTCCAAACTTCCTGAGGAAGATGCTGAAATGAGCTTCACGGTGATGAAAGCCGTTAGAAAATGACAACAGATAAGCCGTGACACTTCAGGAGCACACACCTTCTGTAGGAAACTAGAGCTCCCTGTGCTGTGCACCACCTGCACAAGATGAACTGTAAAGCTCTGAAGGAGGAGGGGAAACAAATCAGAATACGATCATAATGAACTTTTTAAATACATTTGGCTGAGAGTAGTTTGGCAGCAAAACTCCACCTCACCAGGTTTTGTTATAGAAACAATATAAAAGATGTGATTTATTAAATTTGTTACTTTCAGTGAAACTAATAAAAAAAATACTTATACCTCTAAATTCAGTCTGTTTAACTTTTCTCCACAGAACTGAACTGGTTAAACCAGTGGTCTGTGGCTCTTTAGTCCCTCATCTGTGACCCCAAGTTTGACCAAAAATAACGTGAAATTTAATTTTTTATATCGCCAGCACGGTGGCTCAGCTGGTAGAGCTGCTGCCTCTCAGCGAGAAGGTTGCTGGACCAAATCCTGGCCAGGGACCTTTCTGGGTGGAGTTTGCATGTTCTCTCCGTGCATGCGTGGGTTTTCTCCAGGTACTCCAGTTTCCTCCCACAGAACAAAAACATGCATGTTAGACTGATTGGTAACTCTAAATTGTCTCTAGGTGTGAGTGAGAGGGTGAATGGTTGTTTGTCTCTATGTGTCCCTGTGATGGACTGGAGACCTGTCCAGGGTGTCCCCCGCCTCTCGCACAGTGATTGCTATGGACACCAGTGACCCCTGTGACCCGAAAAGAAAGAAGCAGGTAAAGATGATGGATGTTTTTCATACCTACAACAGAAAAGGCCCGTCTCAGCAGTTTTTCTGTTAATTTTCTGCAAATACGTGAGTGACGTAACACAAGGAGGACAATGCATTTCATTTATTTATCTGACTTACAGTCGGACCTTTCTCTCAAATCCATCAGAAATCCTTTGGAAGATTTTAGAGCACGTTGCTTAAAATAAATCATTTGGAAAAAAAGAAAAATTTGAAGAAAAAAAAAGGTTTTGTTTTATTTTAAAATGTCAACAAGTTCACACACATCCAACAAAATGGCCTAATATGTTTTAAATTGATTATGTATCACTTCAAAGTGGAATACTTGATTCATTTGTCACCCAGTAAAGGAGGCCTCACAAAGGCCTGCAGGGTTCAGTGTTTCAATCCTTATCAAAATCAGTGTAAACATTTTACCTTCTTTACATCCATCCATCCATCCATTATCTTTACCCGCTTATTCCATTTTGGGTCACGGGGGTCGCTGGTGCCCATGTCCAGCAATCACTGTGCGAGGGGCGGGGTACACCCTGGACGGGTCGCAGGTCCATCACAGGGACACAGAGAGACAAACGAGACAAACAACCATTCACTCTCTCACTCACACCTAGGGACAATTTAGAGTTACCAATCAGCCTAACATGCATGTTTTTGGTCTGTGGGAAGAAAGTGGAGTACTCAGAGAAAACCCGCACATGCACAGAGAGAAAATGCAAACTCCACCCAGAATGGCTCCTGGACTGGATTTACTGGATTTGAACTGGCAACCTTCTTGCTGAGAGGCAGCAGCTCTACCAGTTGTGCCACCGTGCTGCGCTATAGGACAAATATCAATATATTAAGAAAAATTATGGGCAGCACGGCGGCGCAACTGGTGGAGCTGCTGCCTCTCAGTCAGCAGGTCCCCGGTTCAAATCCTGGCCTATCTGGGTGGAGTTTGCATGTTCTCTCTGTGCATGTTTTCTCCGAGTACTCCAGTTTCCTCCCACAGACCAAAAACATGCATGTTAGACTGATTGGTAACTCTAAATTGTCTCTAGGTGTGAGTGAGAGAGTGGATGGTTGTTTGTCTCTATGTGTCCCTGTGATGGACTGGAGACCTGTCCAGGATGTCCCCCGCCCCTTGCACAGTGACTGCTGGACATGGGCACCAGTGACCCCTGTGACCCAAAATGGAAGAAGAGGGTAGAAGATAATGGATGGAAGAAAAATTATAATCAAGCCACTTTTATGTATCTATAGCTATTTTTCTCCACAGCACCCCCCCCCCCCCCCCCCCCACACACACACAGATGAATGTTTACACACTTGTTGTCAGCTTCAACTCCACAAAATACCTGGTACAAACCGTATTATTTTTGGTCCACAAACATTATTAGATTAGATTATTCGATTGGTTTATGTCATGTCGTCGTGTTCATGCGTGCTCATCTGCTCACACAGACTCATGTTCGTGCTGCTGTTCGTGTTTTTTTTACTACTATAGTGCTTAGTGTATTCTTAGTTTTGTGTATTTCTTAGTTCATATCTTAGATCTTATTACTGTTTTTCTTTGACATTTAATTGTTGGATGTAACTGGGACCCTGCGTACACAATTGGATTCCACCATGTGAATGATAATAAAGAAAACCTTGACGTTGATTAGTTTTGAGTCAAATAAACAAATACACAAAGAAAACGATCATGAGACTCTTTTTATCCATTTATAACCACACTTGATTACAAGAACTATCATTCTTATTTATAATAATCGATTCCTGACCCAACACGTGATGGTTTAGATCAACCTGTTTCATATCCGGAGCTCCAAAGCGACTCCATGAAGGATTTACCAACTCAAACAAAGCTGCATTAGAAGTTTCATGAACTTTCACCAGACTGCACGTGGATCAGTGAGTTTTGTTTTTCCTACCATAAAAAAAAATTTTTTTTAAAAAGTGCGCGCGCCACAAGAAGCTCTGACCTTGAAGAGAGCCGCATCCTCGGTCTGCTTGTAGTCCTTCTTGGCTGCGTGTTTCCAGGGGATCCTGAACATGGTCCTGTCCTCATCCTCCCAGCTCAGGCCCTCGAACCTGCCGCTCTCTATCTGAGCCACCAGCCACTCCTTCAGGTGCAACTTGGCTCCGTCCTCCATCTTCAGCTCATGCCACCAGCTCCACTCTGCAGACCAACAACCTGCACTTGGTTATGTGGAGCTGATCGCACTTCCGGTTCACAGTGAATGAAAGCAGCAGATTGAAGCTGGGGGCAACCCTGTGAACTCCGAGCAGAAGCAAAGTGCGCTCTGTACAAGTGAAAGTGAAAGCTGCTCTCAGGTCAGCGCTTTCGCTTTCCCGCTCCGAGCGCTCGTTTCCAAGCAAAGAGCCGCAGCTGCTGCAGATGTTTTCCTTGCAGATGTTTTGGAAAGGGTGATTTTGTGACACTACTGAGCCCAAATCCACAGCCTGCAGGATCACTTTTTAATTAGCCTCTCCACAGGAAACTCAGCAGAAGGGGGCGTTTTATGCGCACGCGTGCACGCGCAGCCTCATAACGAAATGTTCTGGTGAAAACGAAAGTTTGGGAGGAAAGGTTCAGCTTTTTTTGTTTTTCACGTTTTGCTGCTGACTGAAGAGCTCCACATTGTTTAGTGGCTGAACAGCAAACTGAAGAGAAACACGCCAAGTTTTATTCTGATTAAAATCCATGGGCTGAATAAAGATTAAAGAATTAAAGTAAATAATCCGCTTACAGTTTGTCCCCAGCAGAGGGCAGCTGGTGTCCGTGTCGTGTCTTCCAGCACCATATTTATATTTAATCATTAATGATTTTGAACAATAAAAAAAAAGTTACACAGGAACTTGATCAAGCAGGAAACAGAATAAAAGTCTGGACCATACAAATCATCCCTAATCTCTTAATCTTGTAAACATGGAGCCACCAGGGAGGGGCTAAGAGGGCCCAATGCCTTGTAAATTTGCAAGATGATATTTTGCTGACAGACAATGTGTCTGTCAGTAACATTTTGTGAACCACTGGATTTTATGAACCCTCTCATGTGCAACTACAACAGATGTCTGGCGTTAACCTGGTTTTAAACAGCTAATCCACCTTAGCAAATAAATAAAAGAAACAAACAAAAAAAGGCTTTTTTCTGAGTCTAAAAACAAAACAAAAAAAAATTACTGAGCTAAAATGTGGTGTGGTAGTTGCAGACAGTGCTCCCCAGCACACACTCCGAGCACCAACAGACCTTGTGAGATGTTTGTTTAAAGGCAGGTTGGATGCAGTCGTTTGAAATGTCACTTGTTCATTTGAATTAGGAGATGAAAAGACGAACTTCAGTGTTGAACAGTGACTATGCTGATCAAAGTTTAAAAAAAAAAGAATGTAGGTCATATTCCTGTTATAGAAATATTATAATAACATCTGCTATGACCCTGAAGCAGGGGTCTGCAACCTTTATGATCTAAAGAGCCATTTCTGCCTCATCGTTCACCAAATCAAATGTGTCCGGAGCCACAAACCCTGCTGCAACTGTGATTCTCAACTGGTGGCCTGCAGACCACTTTAGTGCACTTTTCTGGCCAGTATGGGTGACTTTATAAAACTAAAATATATTTTGATTTTTTTAAATTATTATTATTTACTGATATTTTTACATTTTAAGACAAAATAAAAGACAAGATTCTTGTAAAGGAGGAAAAATAATATAGTTTTTGCCCAATTTCTAAAAACTAAAACAATAAACTATGCAGGCATATGTGCATTTTTTTTTCCAACTGTAGAAAAATTACGTATTCTACTTTGAAGGAATAAAGCGTAAACTGAAAGTGTTTCGCTCCTTGTAATGTTTTTAGTATTCACATATTTGCAAAATAAATTACAGGAAAACTGCTACAACTAGCCCTTTTAGTTCTTATAGTATAATTCAGTTTTCTATCAGTTTAGGACAAAGCTTGAAAGAGCCGCTGCAGAAGGACCAAAGAGCCGCAGATTGCAGACCCCTGCCCTAAAGTTAACCCTGTCCCCACCTGTCCATCTTAAGGTCGCCTGTTCAACTCCCTGGACTGACAACATGAAAATATGGGTGGTAAAGGTGAAACATCTACACCTGACTCCCTCATTGGCCCCTCGCTGGGCCCTTGAACAAGCCCCTTGACCCCCACCATCTGCTCCCCCAGGCGCCCTAGAGAGCAGCTCTGCTCCACACAGAGGGCCGTGGTAGCTCGGTGGTCTGTGGTTACATCAGGAAGAGCATCCTGCATAAAAACAATCACCAAGTCTTCATGCAAGTTAGTTCACTGTGGTGACCCCTTCTTCAGGGTTCTTATTGTATATATGTATATATATATATATATATATATATATATATATATATACAGTAAGGATTAAAAATATATACTTTGAAGCTACAGTGTCTTTGCAGTCATCTAGTGTCTCTCTCTCTGTGACATGTTTGTCAGTTTACAACCACTTTCCCCTCTTACATCCTGTCTGTAGGTAATAGTTTAATAGTTTTTTGTAAATTATACTCTAGCTTGAGTCCATGAAGGATTCCTGAATCCTAACCCCTAGGACTATGTTAAATATCCTCTTCAGTAATTTCTTTATTGTGAATGTCACAGATATGACATTTCAAAATATTTGCTAAATCCAGACGTTTAATTCCTGATTTTCAGATAAAGGACCTGCGGCTTAGTGTCACCGACCATTCGCCTCTACAGTTTCAACCATTTCTAAACTTCTCCATGCCAGAGAGCAGTAGGACTTGAAGTGTTTGCCATCCTCCTTATTTTTACAGTTCTCAACACAAAGTTGAAGAGGTTCAGTAATGACTAAATGAGCAACTTTAAGGAAAGAAGTGAAATGCAGTTCTGTAGAAAGTTTATGAACAATGACTATTTTACTAACAAAGCCTTTTGAACAGCTGTGGTTTAGAGAAACAAGAACTTGTAGAGTTTTGTGAAGACCATCCAACCCACCGGACCCTCCTGATCCAGTAGCTGGAAATGACTCAGTGGCCCAACATGGAGTTTTTATTTATTTAATCATGTTTCCTTTATTCTTCTAAACTCTAGTTTTGCAAAACACTAGTTTCTGTCATTTTTTTGCTTCTGGACCAGATACGTTACCACCTGCTGCAGCCCGGTGCATCAACTACTGACACCCTGACTTCTGTCAAGCCAACAAGAGTCAGGCGTTCTTGTTCTTGAGTGTCCGATTCTTCAGCGTGCATGCGTATGGATCTGTGTTTTTGTACTAAATGTTTACTCGTGCAATTTGAAAGTGTGTCTTTGCTCTTTGCAAACTCAGCTCCAAACTAAAATGATTTTGTTGGCTGAGACGAGAGGTCATATCATCGCAGTATGGCAACGATGTCAGCAAAGTCCATTCGGGAAAGAGTAATTCGAAGTTTGTTTTGGAAATCTAAAAAAGTTAAATCGGGTCCTCTGGACATGAAAAAAAAACAAAAAAAAAACAGCAAATCAACAAAAAATCTAGAAACGTTTCGTCTCTCATCCGAGAGACTTCCTCAGTCTGAGGTGCTGTTTTCAGCTCAGTCTCTTAAATAGCACCTTCTCAGAGTGGATCAACCAGTTTTGCTGCTGACAACCAAAACCAGCTGATCACATGCTCAAGAAGGACCATCAGCATAACAATGGATCATTAGCACACTGATGGCTGTTTACTGTTCACAGAGGGCTGAGTGATACTAGCAATCACAGCATTGTAAGAGGGGGAAAGTTGAACCCGGAGGCCTCCACCCCTGTTTAATGATGGACGATTTATTTTCACAAAGATGGCCTCCTTTACTCCTCTCTCAAACCATCGTTCCTCTCTGTCCAGGATGTGAACATCTTCATCCCTGAAAGAGTGACCGCTGGCCTGGAGATGAGTGTAGAGTGCTGAATACAGCTCCTCAGACTGAGGAAGTCTCTCGGATGAGAGACGAAACGTTTCTATATTTTTTGTTGATTTGCTTTTTTTTTTTTTTTTTCTTGAATGTCCAGAGGACCAGATTTAACTTTTTTAGATTTTTCTACCTGGATTATTGAGCATGCATCAGGAGATTTGTTTTGGAAATTTTTTACAGAGGCTCTCAAACGTAAAAAGCAAAACATCATCAATGGTAAATGGACTGTACTTATATAGCGCCTTTCTATCTTATCAAGACACTCAAAGTGCTTTACAACACAATCTGTGCCTCATTCACCCATTCATACAGCACTCTACTAGATCTATACAAAGACTAATAGAACAAACCATTCTACAAAAACTAATCAGTGCATTAGATCATATTCATACACCAATGGGACACACATCGGAGGCTATGAGGGGTTCAGTGTCTTACCCAGGGACACTTCGGCATGTGACTGCTGGTGGAGTCAAACCCCCAACTCTTGCATTAGAGGACGAGTGCTCTAATGGCGCTAACATAAAAATATGTAGAGGTAGAAGTATAAAACATACTTAAAGGAAAATCTCATTTTATAAGATAAATATGGAATTTTTTTTTAATATGCATTTATAATGGAGTTGTATATGGTGGTTTTACCTCTCATGAACGCTAGAGGGGAGTAATGTCACTTTGAGATTACAGGAGTGTTGGAAAAAATTCTGACAAAATAAAAGGACTTTTAGGTTTTGTTGGGAATGATTGTGTTTACTGACAGCACCCAAAAAAATAAAAATAAAATAAAGACGCAGACAAAAAATAAAAACATGGCTGATTTTTCCCCATGAGGCCTTCTGTAGGTTAAAAAACAACCAGCCCCAAAACTTCACTCCTGAACATTTCAGGGCAAATAAATTAGCTGTTAGCTAGAAGAAGCTGCTGCGTCGTGTATGGTTTGTGGCACGAGCAATTTGATTATAAATGTTTTTACTGCACGCTCGGGCCTCCTGCATTCTTTTCCTGAGTCTCCTTTGAACAAAGAGCGCTACGTGTCGTCACCGTCGAACGCAGGGCAGGCTGTTTGCGTTCAAGAGCACGTTTCCTCGCACATCACCTCATTGCGCTGTACAATAAGCTGCCTGTGTAGTCATTTAAAGATAGAGAAGAACCCACAGCCACTTCAAAGAGATGAACCACAGATAGAGACAGGGACGTTTCAGTTCACATTATGGAAACGACTGTGACAGACCTCAGGTCAGCCAGTGAGGGATGAAGCTTCAATCCAGGCAAATATTTGTACAAGAACGTGTCAGGAGTTGCATCACCACCATGTGTCTTTCTCCAAGCAGACACCAAAACTTCTGCTTCCCATTTAGATTAAATCAAAGTTCTCAGTCAGCGCAGATCCTCCTTCTCGTTTTTCCTCCTAGTTTATTGTCGTAACAGTTCAGCAGTAAAACAAAAGTGGAGAAAGTGGAACAGCTTCGCCTCCTCTCAATAAATAGACCTTCTTTTAAAATACGGCAGAGATTGCGTTACAGCAGAGAAGTGTAGAAACCTGAACAATGTTTGAGCACACCAGAACAAGCAGCTGTTTGTTGTTCTACAAAATGTTCCCCGTGCATGATGTCATCATGTCCTTGTGGCGTTCATGAACTAGAAACAAATCGGGCCGCGTTTCATACAGCGAAATAAAATACACAAATCCAAGTGACATCCCAGAAAATAAATACACTTGCTTTTTTGAATTAAAAAACATATTTACAGTTTTACACATTGAAAGAATAAAGGTCTGTTTTTTTTTTTTTTTAACCTTCTCCTCTTTCAGCCTCACATCTCAAACATAATGCACTACAATAATGATGACAACCGTCGAAATAAAAGATTGTGGACTGAATGGATGAGTATACAGTTCATGTTTTAAATATCGTGTACACACAGTAGAAAGCACAAACGAGTGTGTGCATGGGGTGAAAAGTCTAAAAGATGAACTGACAAGTACACTTGTATGTTCACTCAGCTGCTTCATGCAGAATAATCAACAAAAGTCGCGTTTATTTTGAAAAAGAACGTTCTGGCTCGGTAAGAACATTCCTGAAATGGCTTAGTCAAATTCAAATAAATGTAATTTAAGTAGAAAAACAAAATAATTTTCTACCAGTACTCTATTTCTTTAACAAATACCTGCACTCATAGATCTGCACGGTGTTTGTTTTCTAGCAATACGGTAGTTCAGATGTTAAGTTGGGTGGAAAGTTGGTGACCGATCATTATCTTGCTTGTTGGAGCGAGCTCTGAACGAGCTCAGTTTGGAGAAACACAGATTGTTCTCCCACTCAAGTGACGAGTTAACAAAACAACTCTAATCTTAACATTGAACGATGGTTGATGCAAATACAATTTTCTAAACTTTTACACCATTGTCTGCTTTCCATGGCGTGGTTATTCTGACATAAATATGATATTCCTGTTAGAAGAGCCCCCAGGTTGCATATGAAGTGCTACAGCTGGCTGCTACTGTCGCTATCTATGCTTGAAAATAACCATAGAGTTCTGTGTAAATACAGTAGTCCCTCGCTACTTTGCGGTCATCTGTCATCTTTAACATTACGTGACTGGGACGGTATGAGATAAAAATGTAACGGAAAAAAATACTTCGGACAGGCGCTGCCATTTTGTAGTTTTCTTTCAATACTGTAACGCCAATCAGAAAGAACTACACTACCTAGAAGCCAACAGTGCTTCCGGACGCTACTTTCTCCTAAAATGGAGGGAAAATTTTGATCCGATCCAAACCTGACTAAAAAGTTCGGTCCTAATTCATAGTGACTTCAGCGCTCAGCGGATGCAGAGAGGCGTACAGAACCGACCGGGAATTGGACCAAGGCTGGTGAGTCCCCATATAAAATTATGCAGTACTGTACTGTACTTATATATATATATATATATATATATATATATGCATTTATATTTATATATATATATACAGTATATGTTGTTAAAATGATGTAGGTTTAAGAGTTTAGAGCATTGCAAGAGTGTGGGAAGGGTTTATAAATTCTTAAAATGTATAAGTACTAAAATAAATGAAGCGTTCCTACTTAGCGGTTTTTCACCTTTTGCGGGGGTGTGTGGAACATAACCCCCGCAATAACTGAGGGACTACTGTTTCATTCATTTTCTTCACCCACTTGTTCCTTTCTGGGTCACAGGCTACTGGTTTTAATGTCCAGCTGTAACTGTGCAAGAGGCGGGGGTCACCCAATGTAAATTACTATGTAATTTAAAATGTATCACAATATAAGGGTTTAAAAGCAGCACTCTCATTAATTATAAGTGTTTGAGTCATTTTAAGACAGCAGCAGTACACATTAGTTTAGACTCCTCTCCTCACTTTGGTCGAACCTAAACTCTGTTTCTCTAAACTGAGTTTGTGCAAAGATAGTTACAACAGGTAAGACATTTTTTGGTCACACCCTTTCCGCAAAAGAGCTGAGCTATCACTAGGCCTGTCACGATGACAAATTTTGCTGGGCGATTAATTGTCTCCGAATTTATTGCGATAAACGATAATATTGTTTGAAATTGAACAATAATTAATTGTCAACTTTTAGAAGAAATTTCGATTTGTTTGGTGTGTAGTACTTTTTCTGACCACCTGGTGGCAGTATAAGACTGTTTGAACCAAAGGATGGATAGTTAAGCAGCATGTCTTTAAGAAAAATGGGAGGGAGGGCTCTTGACGTGACATGGCCAACGCTCGGTGATTTGAGCTATTTAGCATAGCATTTTTCATACAAATATTTTAATAAAAAATCTAAAAAATCAGTAAACAAGTTCTCAGCTTCTTTTTGCAGAGAAAAGAAACTTTTTACATGAGGGCACGGGTTTCAACCATGAATTTTGGAGCTTCAACAAGACGGAGGTTTATTTCTGAGGTCGGCCTGTTAGCTTAGCTCGTAGCTTAGCTTCTCAGCTTAGCTGCTTTTAACGATCCAAAAATGCAATTTTGGATCGTTAAAACAGAGTTTCAAAAGAAAAGAGAAAGGGAGGGGTCAGTGAAGAGCACCGGAGTTGAGCCTTTGATCATCCAGTGTCTTCAGTAGAAAGAGAGAGACACGAAGAAACGATGAAGCCGATAAATGAAAATAAGGTTGATAATTTTCATTCATCATCCGATTAATTGATTTATTGATTTATAGCAACAGGCCTAGCTATCACTTTACCAAACAATTTGAAGATGAGGACCTGGAGGAACAAGTGTACTCACGAGATGGTGCTGCGTATCCAGGAAAAGATCAAATACGTTAAATATGCAGGTGTAAACTGAAATTTAATACACATTTCATTGTTTATCAGTACAAATGGAGCCTGACGGGAAATAAATATTGTTTATGCATGTTTTTACAAAGCCAGAATGTTCATCTGTTAAAATAAAGAGTTTGGTGTCACATTTGTGTGCTCTTAAACATTAAATATTTTCTGTAGCGGTTTCCTTCTTGTTTTTTTTTTGTTTGTTTTTTTTTGGGGGGAGGCGTAGACGTAAAAAAATATATACAAAGTATATATATCATGAAAAGATTGTTGTTAACAATGGCCAGCAGGGACAACCTGTTTATTTTAAGTTGAATGAATTGGGTTGAGCTGTTCTGTCAGACTGTCTGAAAGTCAAGTTCGGCCTCACAACAACACGTTGACATAAAATTACCAAAGTCTCTGTTTTCCATTTGCAGCTTCCTAAACGACGGCCGTCTCTCTCAGCGTGTGCGTCTGTACAGAATGAGTCCGTATGAAAACGCTGACAGTCTAGTGGCAGCCACAAGCTCTGACCACCATGTTGCGGTACTTCTTGAGGATCACGTTGGAGCTGTCATCAAAGTAGAGCACAGAGATGGCGTTGAGCTGCGTGGGGGCACAACAAGGTTTAGGAACTAAGTCTGGATTAACGAAATGAACCTGGAGAGAAAAAGGAGAAAGACTGCTGAGAAATAAGTAGGACACAGAAATGTTAAATGTTCTGTGAGGTTCTGTGAATGCTGCAGAAAATGTCCAGTTTGTTCATGGTCACTCACAAGAGTTTGCACGATGGCGTGGTTCGTAGCGTTCATGTAGGAGTTCAGTGGGAAGGCGCACTCTCCCTCGCAGTAATATGCTGCATATCCTTCTGGAGCAATGATCCAGTCCTGAAAGCAAATATGGGAGAGAACGAAGTTCAAGATGTGACACTGTGGAGTTTGACCTTTGATTACTGTCTCACTCAATTTCTGATCCTGTTCAGGGCCAGAGGGCAGGAGGTGGGGTACACTCTGAACAGGGTCACCAGACCATCACAGGGTCAACACAGAGACCCACAAGAAACACCCCATGTGCACACTCACACATAGAACAAAATTACACTCACAGATTACTTTAATATGTATGTTTTTAGATTGTGAAAGGAAACTGGAGAAAACACCACCGACGTGATGGGGATCACGGTTCTATTCTGTACCCTGGATCATTTAGCTCAGAAACCAACAAGAACCAGCGCTTTCCGCTCCCAAAAAGCTCTTTGTCTGTTGTTATTTTAAAATTGTTTTGCAGTCAGCCACTAGGGGGCACTCACCCTTTATGGCTTCACCTTCCAGCTTCCTGTGTTGATATAACATTTATATTGAAGGTACACACTAGAGTCGCATTCAGGCCCAAAAAATCCGACCTGACCCGGCCCCAGCCCGTAGCCATCATTTCCGAACCTCACCCGACCCGAAGAATTAACAGTAATTACAGATCTGACCCCGAACCCCCCCCCCCCCCCCCCACCCTTTGACAGTTATATAGTCATTAACGGTCGGCGGACGCGCAGCTGAATAAAAGGGGCAGAAGATCAGAGCTGAGGGGGCGTTTGTCCTTTCATTGTCATCAAAGAGCATTAAATCCCTATTTTTGCCTGCATTCTGCATTATTCAGACACGGACCCTGCTCTGACATGTCTGCATTGGGATCTCACCTGTTTGGGTCGTCGGCCATGTGCGTCCATTGAGTGCAGCGGCTGAATGATCGTCTATTTGGGTTTTGATGGATCGCTGCCTGGCAGTATAGTCCCATCTGAAGCTTAACTGAACTTTTTCTACCTCTTTCAAGCCCAGTCAGCACACGGTCAAATGGCCGCGTGCGGCTGGTGTAGTATGGCAAGCCATGTTGTCATATATTGGAAAGTATGGCAAGCCATGTTGCCATATAATTGGATTGCCAGCCGCACGTGTCGGCTGATGCAATCAAAAGCTTGACACCCATCCAGCACATTATTATGGCCCGGCCCAAATTCGGGTCGGGCTTTGGGCCCAGGTTAGAAATGACAGCTCTAGTGCACACTTGTATATTTATAATACAAATACTGTTTAAAAATGACAATTACTAACCTTTACACTTTAATAAAATAGTTTTACCTCATGTTTGATATAAATTGAATGATAAGGACTGAAACCTAGTTAGATATGAGTGTCTGCACAGTCATTTTTGTTCTTGTTTCTCCTCCTATACAGAATGTACCCCTGCAGCCCTCTTTGTGTATTAATGTGCTGGTTTGATCCTGATTTTATTGCACATGCCATATAGGTCTGGGAAGCTCAGTCCTCACCTCCTTCTACAGGTGTGCAGTGAAGAGCATCCTGTGCTCCAGCATCAACGTGTGGCATGGAGGCTGCACAGCTGCAGAAAGAAAAGCTTTGCAGAGAGTGGTGAAGGCTGCACAGAAGACTGTTGGAGTCAGCCTCCCAACCATCACAGACATCTACACCTCCAGATGCAGGAAGAGGGCCACCTGCATCATGAAGGACCCCACTCACCCAGCACACACACTTTTTGCACCGCTCCCCTCAGGAAGGAGGTTGAGGAGCATTAAGTGTAGAACCACTAGACTGAGGAACAGCTTCTACCCTGACGCTGTTAGACTCAAAAATCTCTAACCAGAATAATCACTGTGAAAAAAATCACATCATGTTGCTGCTGATCTGTTTCATGTTGCTGCTGATCTGTTTCATGTTGCTGCTGATCTGTTTCATGTTGAGGTGTTCATGTAAAACATGCCCTTTATTAGGAAGAAAAAGTAAGTTTCCCATAAGGGAGCCAGCTTTTTTTTTCTTTTTAATTTCTTGGTCACATGACCACCACATTAGACAGGTCGTTGTGGACAGAGATTCAAACCAGAAACCTTTGTTCTTAGAGGTGACGGCACTAACGTCCTTGACTCTCTGAACTGGGATTGAGCTGAGTACTGCCTAATCCAGGTAAGATACTGTGTGTTCATATATGTGTCATACAACGCTAGTTTTGCCTGTCATGTCACGCTGTGAAGCTCTGTGACGAATGTTCTGGGTTGTCAGGAAGGTCAAACGCTTGAACCTGGATAAAAGTTACTACCCAGTCTTCCAAATGTATGATTCTTATCTCACAGGTGAATATTTTAAGGTCACTTAAAACAAAACATGACATTTTACTCTGACAATATTGTTACTGGCAAAATTATTGAAAGTGTTTGTTATTTTGTTGGGTCAAGCAGTTCTGTTGAGGACTGGTTTCTGTACCTGCCATCCCAAGTCTCGGAAACTGACGAAAAGCTCATGTTTCTTGCACGCCTGCTTCTGGTCAGTGCTGCTGTTTTCTGAAAAAGAGAAAGAGCAGCAAAATTATATTTCATGTTCCTGTTGGGTAACAAGAGTAATTATTCTGTGCAGTCGAAGCCTAAATGGGGAAGTGCAATAAAGAATAGAGCTGAGCGCAGCAGGTATCATCCTTTAAGATAGTGATGTTTAAGAAGGACATCAGCTCCAGATACAAGCTCATTTTTAGGAAGTCGTTCAAATGAATGGGCCACCGTGCGTTCAGGGAGCTCTCGCTGTTTCCACTGAAACAATGTAGCCCGGCCCGATTCATTTCATTTTTTCCTCCTTTCTTCTCTCATTTCAGCTCTCAGTTTTCTTCTAACCAAGAGAAAAAAGAAAAGTCTGTTTTCCATCCATCTGTATCTTTCTCTCCTTCTGGTGACCAACGGGGCTCTGTGGTGCATTAGTGCTTGAAAGGGGGTTCACATGGGAAATGATTAGGAGCAACTGGTTCTCATCATGGAGCTATAGACCACTGGTATCCAAAAATCCAAACAGACCCATTTGGCCCATGTGTCCAGAGCCTGGTTGCCCCACAGCGCACCACAGATGTGTTCTGCCATAAAAGCCTGTGGTGCCTTACCTCCATGCAGGGAACTTGGCCCCGACTGCTCAGTAATGCTTGAGAAAATAAACAAAAGACAGCAGAGGGCCATTTGAAGCTGTGCAGGCTAATGTTTCAGCGCTCCGCATAAACACAGGACAAAACAGAGGCTGTCAATACGCATCAAAGGCTTCCCCGCCAAGGAAATGCACAACCTCTGGCGTTTTATTTGTTTAACTGTGTGCACAGAGCACATGTACTGATGCTTTTGTAATTTAAATGTGAATAAATTGTCCACTCTGCAAGTCTGCAGAAAGCTGCTCCCACTTCCTGTACCTGCGATGTTAGCCACTCTGAGCGCCTCTTGGTTCTTTGCCGCCTTGGATCGGTTGGGGTTACGCTGTTTGCCCCCTCCTGATGCTGAGCGGATGCTTCGCAGGTGCACCTCTGTTGCTTTGAAAAAGGCCACCATGAAGGGCTGTTTATTCTGAGGTCCATTGCGACCAATCAGCCCTGCCACTCGAGGATTGATACTCTCTCCTGCAGGGGAAGTGGGTGAAGGAAAGAAAGAAAACAGAGCAGGTGTCAGCACAGAAATAATGGCTTTGTGCCCACAGAGCTGGTGCTTGTTTAAAACCAAATAAATATGTGTGTTTGGCATGCCTACATTGAGATTTTTGTATGTGTGATCCCTTTCTCACTAAAACCACTTATGTGTTTCCATGTTGCCACTTCCTTCACTCACTGACAATAAAACAAAAACATTAGACACCCAGAAGAAATGATTGAAATGGTCCGATTAGGTTGTAATTTTATACAAAATGCAAACCATCAATAGGTATATAAACTACTTGACTGATAAGGAAATGAAATGTGTAGAATGGGCACAAGAGGGCCTGCTGGTGGCATTATGAGTGGAGGGGTGGTGTTATCAGGCAGTTGCTGGAGCATACAAGAAACATAAAGGAGGCCTCATAGAGGCATTAAACAACACTACCCCAGCTTTTGTGGGTTTCTATGAGGCTGTGTGGCCATATTGTGTAACACAGTGGATGATGTTGGAACCAGTAGGTACATGAGGGCTATTTAGGCGAAGGTTCTGGTTGCCCAAGACAGCTCACAACAAAGAAATATTGTCGTATTGTGCATCAAGCATTACAGAGCCATGTGACACATGCGCCTGCCATCCAAACACAGGTATTGGACTCTTTACATTACCACATGTTGTTCAGCACCATGTCATGATACTGACTATAGGTTCACTGTCACAGGCTGCCATTAACACCAGAGTAAAAACTGCTGCTTTTGGAATGGCACCACAACTTGTGCTTGCAATGACAAGTGGTGGTGTGTCACAATCACCACTGAATCTTGTTTCTGCATTACCACAGATGACCCTTGTGTGCTCATACAAGCCAAGAACCAGTTCTACCAGTGTTGTGAAGAGACAACATGGTGCCACTCCTGGTACCACGGTGTGTTCTGGTAATGATTCAAGGGACCCTGACAGCACAGCACTACACTAGTAACCAGGGGCGATTCTAGAATATGCCTTTTAGGGGTGCTCAGCCTCCATTGTTGACAAAGACTCTTGACTTGAACAACACGGTGGCTACTGACATCAGAAGCATTTGTAATGTGGAGGGGACACATTGGTGGGGGGGGGGGGGTCTGGGGTCTTCTCCCAGAAATTTTTTAAAGAAAATAGATGTAATTTCCTTCATTCTGGTGCATTTTAACAGGTTGTTAAACATCTATGTTTACCTACACAAGTAAACACTTGATTCAATAACTATTTCAGAGTGCAACAAGAAGTAGCCTGACCAACAGCTCTCCTTGTGTGAATAGAGCACGCTCCACTTCTCTCATGCATCCTAATACCCCTCCCCTCCACCCCCGGTTGACAACTGCCAACAACTTTATTGCAGCGCACAATACAGACGCATTAGCTAAGATGCTATAGACGTAGCGCTCCGCTTCTCTCATGCATCCCCCTTGCTGCAGGTAAGGGGTGTTTACCTTCAGGACAAATTGAGATCGCCGATTGGTCATTTGCTGACGAGCCTATTGGACTGATTGACAGGTGGTGTCGAGGATCTGACTCATGCAAAAAAAATCATAGATTTTACTGGCTCCTTTAATAGTTTCATCATTTATTCCATGTTTATATCAAATTTATTCAATATTTTGGTGAATCTAAGGTTGGAGAACTGTTTCCTTACAAAATCCTAATGATGGTTTATTTATTTTTTAAGAGTTCTGGGGTGCTTGAGCACCCCCAATAAGAGGCTAAAATCTCCACTGCTAGTAACATCCTGTGTCCAAATGTCCTTCTGCTTCTGAGACCAACGGTGTGCGTGGTCTGTCATCATTTATTTGAGATATAATCACTGTGAGACATTCACTTAATCCTTCAATACATCTTTTTATTTTACTTCTACCTCTTGACTGAGTGCTGAACTTGTTTTTCAGTGGATTTATTTAAAAGCAGTGCTTCTTTTATAAAGTCCTTTCTTTCCCACCCTCATCCTTGCTCTACCTTCTCCGCTGTCCCAGCCGACTATGGGATTTCCCCCATGCTTGTCCCTACATGCTCCCCATAAAGCTTCAGAACCTACAATCACGTGCTGACGAAGACAGCACAGACTTCACACAGGCTGAAAGCAATAGCGTCTCCTTCCCTCACCTAACATGTAACGTCCTGCCATCCCGTGACAGACGCTATTCTCCGCGCACGCTTGTACTCCCTGAGTTTGTTGATACTGACAAAATGTTTGCGTCTCCAGATGAGATGCTCTTTTTACAGATAGCAAAGTCCATTTATCGCACGCGTGCTGATGATGCTGGGGGTATGACGGATGATGGTGGTGGTGGTGAGTGACGGATGAGGAGCGAGCTTGGATTTATATTTTCAGCGTACATGAAAAAAGACAAACCATCTGCCTCAGTTGGTTTTTCCAGCCGAGCTGCAGACTTGTGCATGTTGTGTTTTAATGTCAACCCACGTTTGTTTTGCTGCAATCGCTCAGGTTTGTCTGGAATTGAATCCAGCTGGAATTTTGGGAAAAGTTTATTCTGAGCACATTTTATGGTGAACTGTGGTAACTGGTAATGAGCCTAACCAAATTAGACTGAAAGTTTAGGCTAAACATATCGGACTTCCTGGGGTGGCCGGGCTCAGAGTCATGGTGAGGAGCTCTGTCTTCCAGGGGTAGCACGGTGTAGAGCTGAAGGTGGTTCAGGCATCTGGTCAGGATGCCTCCTGGACGTCTCCCTTTAGAGGGCGTCCCACAGGTAGGAGGTCCCGGGAAGACCCAGAAAACGCTGGAGAGATGATGTATTTTCTCTGGTCTGGGAACGCCTCAGGGTCCCACAGGGCGAGGAAGAAAGTGTCACTGGGGAGAGGGATGTCTGCGTTTCTCTCCTGGACCTGTTGCCTCCACAACCTGACTACAGATAATTACTAGAAGATGAAGATGAAGAAGAAGATATGCTGACACCATTTTTGTTATTTTAGCTGTTTATGAGTCACAATTAAGCAATGAATGTGGGCTTTCAGAGGACATACCTTCACATAAGTTATGAAAATTAAGGAAAGTATTAATAGCTGTGGACTGAAATGATGCCATAAAGGAGAACTACTTTTGAAAACTAAACTAAAATATATTTTACAAACTGCACTGGCTGGAAACAAAACTAAAAATTTCTGATGTGATGTGGGCATTTTTTAAATAAAAATGAATAATTGAGCTGCAAAGATCCTATTAAAATATAAACACAAAAGATAACAACATGAGATAAAAAAATAAACTATACCTACAGTTTTAGAAAACATAATTACATAGTAAAATACACACAAAAAAAGAAGTTAGTTGGAAAGATCACAAAAAGTAAAAAAAAAAAAAAAAAGATTTATAATCAAGGATACAGAAAAAAAACAATGAAAGAAAACATAAAAACTAGAACCTCACAGATATGATTTTTTAAAAATAAGAACGCAAAAGTTTGTGTTCAAACAAAGAAAATGCTCTAAAAAAAAACAACACATTCAAATACTTCAGTAAACAGAATAACAGCTAAAAATACAAAACCTCAAAAAGTACCAAAAAAAAAAAAACTAAGCAAACAACAAAAACACTATATTTCATGAATATCCAATAATAATAATAGTAATAATAATAACAATAATAATAATAAATCATAAGGGAAGACAAAAAAGTAATTGAAAATAATAAAATACATGAGAAATAAGCAAACATCCTACATCTTCAAAGCTGTATTTGTTTTGAAAAGGTTCAAACAAACAAAATAATATTTAGGAAAACACAACAAATAACATGGCAACTGGTAAATAAACAAACCAAAGGAAAATAACAAATAAGAAATTAATTTGTTTAATTTTCTGAAAAGTGTTTTGGGTTTTTGGTGTAAATTCAGAATTGTTTGTTTTATAATATAATGATTCATCATATTAAATTATTTATATTATTAAAATACGCTCATGTTTTTGAAAGTTTTATTGTATTTTTTCTTTTTACTGGTTGTGTTTTGAACCTCAGTGCCCCCTAATTAATTACTTTGTGCACTTGTGTTTTTGCCATCCGCTTATTTTTTGTTCCCTTCACAGTCAAGACTTGTTTGTTTGTTTGTTTTTGTTTGTATCCCGGTTGTCTCTGTAAAAATCCCATCGCACACAGCACATCTCCGCTCTGACTTTCAGGAGGGAATCTTACCGTTCGTGCTCTCCAGGGCCAGCTGCAGGCCCAGGTTTCTGCCCGGGTTCAGGACCCAGTGATTACTGGTGGCGGTCACATCGAACACCAACCACCCTTCCTCTGCCGCCCAGATAACTCTGGAGTCCAGCAGAAAGAGGTCCGACTCCCTGCAGGGACACAGAAGACACAAACTCAGACACAAACATTACATAAACTGTATAAATGATGAAGACTGAAGCAAAACGCTGCAGATTGGAGCGAGACGGAGGTGGTGCGGGGAAGTGAAACAAAGAGATAGATGGATGGGAGGGAGGGCTCCAGATGGCGAGGCCCAAGGGAACACTTCATTTTCTTAATTGACAATAATAGCTTTATAAACGAGCGGTTCTTTCAGATGCTGCACACCATCCATCACTGACTGGAATTCTGTGGCTCAACCAAAAAGCCAAGAGGAGAGAGGGAGAAACAAACGAGAGAAAACACACAGCTGTGCAAAAAAAAAAAGAAAAGAAACTGTGTGAAAAGTAGCGAGGGAATCAGTGCATAACCAAGTGAGAGTTATTGTCCAACACTGAACTTTGCGTTTTCTAATCTTTCCTCAATTGAGACTAAAATCCCTTGTTCATCCATGAGGCCATTCATTCCTCACGACCTATTTTCTGACTGAGCAGATAGTGTGTCACCGAGCCCTGGTCCATTCATGTTCCCCGACCTGTTTCTGGCAGAGGAATAAATGACCGTGTTGTTCCCTGCAGACAACGGGAACCTTTAGAGGACACGGCCTCTCTCTGAGTAAAACACCTTCTGGCCCAGATAGACTGCTTAAAAAACACGTGTCTAAGTCTTCTCCTCCTTACAAAATTTGCATTTTAAATGAAATAACCCTAACATATCATCCTTGCTTTTGATTTAGGTGTAACTAAAGTTTTAAAACTGGAGAAAGCTTGAACAGTTTAGTCTCTGGCTGGTCCAACGGAAATATTTAAACTCTTTCTAACTTCTGGGTCTCACATCACGAGGTTTCTTTACCAAGTTGCTTTAGTTTGACATAATCTGACTCAGACCAGCCCGACTGAACGCTGCACAGAGTTAGACTTCAGTTCATCCAGTTAAAACCTTCAAAATAAAATGATCTGTGCAGTGATTTTAAGAGCTTGGGTTAAAACAGTCAATTTACGTCAAACTGTTAAACTGTCTGAGTTAAAGCCAGTTTTATGTTGGCTAATATCAGTCAGCTGTGGTACGGTAGTCCCTCGCTATGTTGAGGTTCGACTTTCGCGGACTCGCTCTATCCCGGTTTTTCAAAGTAAGATTGAACACGAGAACAAAAATTGTAAGGGACACGTGATTGTCAACTTTAATATTACTCACGTGACGGGACAGTAAAAAGTTAATGAAAAAATAAAATACTTTGGACAGACGTTGCCATTTTGTAGTTTTCTCTCAATAAGCCTACGCTGTATAAGGACTCATAAGGACTACATTTCCCAAAAGCCAACAGGGCCCCACCCAGAAGCTTGTTGGAACATACTCCCCACAATAGACATCTTAAATTTGGTTGACTCCAAAAGTTACAGTTGTAGACGTACATCCAATGAAGATTTCTCAAGGTTTCATTCAAATCCACCCAATGCTTCATTGCATATTTTGCTAACAGACACATTAGCACAGGGTCAGAGCAACACGAAGCTTGTTTCTATGGGGCGACACATGGAAGCTAACCTGTCAGAGTGCTCCTTCAACACCTGGTAGATGCTGATGCGGAACGTCTCGTTATCGTAACGCTCGTGGATGAAGTCTTTATAAATGCGAAACTCTGCCGCCGTGACTGCCTCGCCCTCGGGGATCCGAGACAGATCGAATCGGAACTCTCGGTGATGCCGCCGCACCGGGAGGAACTCCTTATCGTGCTCCACTGCAAATAGAAAAGACAAACACAACACAGACACTGATCATGGATCCTCAAAGGGATTTTTATTGTGCACAGAGATCCCCGGCCCGCTTTTAAAAGAATACAACTCTAGTGTGAGCTCATAAAACATTTAAAAGCTTTTTGTGAGGCATTAAGTTCCAACCTCCGGTAACACACACTGCATGTTTGCAAAGAAGGAGGAGAAATACGTGTTTCTGCCTCAGATCGTTGCTTCTAGACCCCATGTGCCTAGCATTAACCTGACCCCATCAGGCTCAGGCTCAGGCTCAGCGTCTGATCGTCTATAGAAACGCTCCACATGTTGCTTAGGGATAGAAGCAGCGTTGGACTCGATGCATCTGGTGCACACTGAGCCACGATAAAGAGATGCAAGCCCACTCTGACAGCTTTATGAGCCCATTTCTTCCCTCGTTCTTCCTCTCGTAGCCCCAGAGAGTCATCCGGTCGGCTCTTCATCTGGTTCTCATGAATCAGGGCTTCTATCCCCGCTTCCTCTCTGTTCTTCTTGCTACATCCACGTTTTCCAGTACCTCCTGCGCCTCCAGGAGCCCCCGCCCCCCTCCCTCCTCCCTAGCCTCACCCTTCTTACATGAGTCACAGCAGGACATCCCAGGGGTCAGTGCCTTGTACCTACAGAGTGTCACTCCACGTATCTTTTCAAGTTTTGAAAGCATTCCTGGAGAAATGCTTATCGCCTGCCATCGTGCGCGCCAACGTTCTAAACTAAGTTCTTGTGCAATCTGTCAGCACTTAGTGTATGTGTGGGAGTTGACTCTCAGCTACTACCAAAGCAAATTTTAGCTCAATATCTATAACAGTGATTGTGTTTAGTAATTTTTGTGTTTGTGGGGTTGATTAGCTGCAGCAGCACATTTATAAGTTCAACAGTTCTAGATGTACATCCAACGATTTCTTTCTGTAAGTTTCATTATAATTTGTCCAATGCTTCACAAGATATTTTGTTAACAGACAGGCAGGGTTCACTACAAAAGCTGTAATAGTTTTACACAAAGGTCTTTGAAGATATTAAGGATGACTCTCAGCTACTACTACCATAGAAAACTCCAGCCTAATGTCTGTAAAACTGAGAGTCTAGTACATGATCACCCACTACCATGCCTGAGGTTGATAAGAGGTTTGATCATTATTTCTAAACATTTATGTTTTTTTTCCTTCTTGATTTAAGATATTTCAGTTTTAGAGTTAGATTATTTTATTCAGATAAAATCAGCAGCATTCAAACTATTTTATCCTCGAGCATCTTCCTCTTCTTCTTTCAGCAGTTTCCTCTTTAGGAGTCACCACAGTGAGTCATCCTCCATGTCCTCTGTCCTCATTTCATCTACCTCATGTCCTCTGTCCTCACTTCATCTAACTTCATGTCCTCTGTCCTCACGTCATCTACCTCATGTCCTCTGTCCTCACTTCATCTACCTCATGTCCTCTGTCCTCATTTCATCTAACTTCATGTCCTCTGTCCTCACGTCATCTACCTCATGTCCTCTGTCCTCACTTCATCTACCTCATGTCCTCACTTCATCTACCTCATGTCCTCTGTCCTCACTTCATCTACCTCATGTCCTCTGTCCTCAATACATCTACCTCCATGTCCTCTCTAACTGCATGTATTCCAGTAACTGCAGGCCTGAAATTAGCTTAAGGATTTGATGGTGACAAATTTAATGGTGAACCTGTAACATTATCTAGTTAGCTACTAGTTAAGTCGTTCTCCATGTGGATTTTTTTTTATTTCTTTTAGAACCATAAATGTTAGAGTTGTTGTTGTTTCAGTGTTTAAAGCAAAAAGTAAAAGTCAATAAATCATCAAAACAAAAAATACATTTAGCCATAGAGAAAGACCTCAACTCCTCCTGCACAATGAAGCTTCCAACGATCGCTTCAAATCAAGTCATTCAGTTTAATAAGTTCTCAAACACTGACTGAAGGTTATTGTAACCTGTCACTGACTTTAAGCTGCTAAACTACTTTTGGTGAAGTTTAGGAAACTGTATTTCAAATTTGAAAACTTTTGATGAATCTAGACATTAGTAATCCCCTTCCACCTTCTGACACCCAGCTCACGCTGCACTGACCTCAGCTGAAGCGGCTTCTTCTAGAGATTTTACAGAGGGGAATCACAACTGAGCCGAAAGATAAGGTTCTCCATTCACACTCCAACTCTCACCTGTGGTCATGATGCTAGCTAAAAGCTAAAAACTGCAAAAACATTAAAAGCTCAAAGTAGCAAAAGGCTATCCAGCAGCTACAATAACAAAAGTGTAGCTAAAAGCTAAAAGAAGCACAAGGCTTTAGCTAAAAGTAGCAGAAAGGTAGCTAAAAACTAAATTAGAAGATAAAATTAAACTGAAGCAGATTTGAAAAGGAACGTTTTGAAGAAACTGAAGAGATATCTGTATTTCGTTTAGGAAAATTTTTGAGAAAACAAATTAAATGTTCTGAAAAGTTTAAAAGTTACAAAAACCAAAAATTCCAGCACCCATGTCCGGAATGAGCAGAACATTTTGATTTATAAAAGACTAAAATACCACAAAGCATAAAAGTAGTAGGATTGTAATAAATAAAAGTAGAACAGAAACAATAACAACTGGAAAACAGTCATGTGAATGCTGAATTTACATTCACATTTTAAAGGACAATGAGCATTTCTAATATTAATTATAAGCTTGCCCTAATGGCTGCAATTATAATAACTTTATATAAGACAGCTGCCTAAACAATTTATCAGACTGATGCGGAGCGTGTGCTAAGAACTGCTTTACAGCCGTGCAGTTGGCTTAATGTTATTTATTCACTCCGGCCTTTTATTTAGCCTCTTCCACTCAAAGTCAACTTTCACAATAATATATTGAATTTGCTGAGCGAAACAAACTTACTAATGAGTCACCTCAGAAAATCCTTTGAAACCTTCTTGGTTTATCGTTTGGTGCTGTAACCTGTAAAGAATTCAAACCACTCTTGCTTAATGCCTCAGAAGACTTTTTAATTAAAGAAAACATTTGATCTGGAAGGGGGAACACAGCTCTGCTCATCCCACTGATTGGTATAAAACAGTCAATTGAAGGCAGGTGCTTTTTTATAAAGACGCATTAAACGTGCCAATGGAAAGGCATTCTTTAAATAAACAAGGGAAGGGAAGGGAAATCTGCTCCTGGTCCAGGTCCATCCTCTTGTTCTCCGTGCAGGTGCACTCCTTGGGTTCAGAAAGCCATACTTGTTCTCCCGCTCCCAGTTTCCTTCTCTACCAGCCCATTAACGGCAGCATGGCAGTCATTAGAGGCAAAGTCAAAGCGAAGTGGCTGCGTTTATGATTTCCTGTGGGAGGAAGCGAGTAGCCATCACCCCACCTGTGTCACCAAAAATATGGCGAGCACGCCCTGTTGATGCCGCACGAGCCCCTCGCCGTGTGCAGTCGGCGCCTGCATCGGTCGCAGCTCTGTGCACACACAGGTCGCAGTATGGCCTGTAAAGTGAACGCTCTGGTGCGTCACAGCAGAGTCGCACAATCATTACGGGTTGCTGTGATCCATAATTAGAGATGCAACGACAAACACATGGACAGACCCAAACACACACTCACAGTGAGCTGGCCACACACGTGCAAATCAGCCCACTCACAAGAAGGCGAGATGACAGTCACCCATCCATCCGGCAAGTATTACACACCTGGTGACCAGAGGGCTGTTTAACGAGCTCTCAGTTACCATCTTGTCTTGATTCATGGTTGCAGATGTCTTATTATATTCTCACACAGAAGCACTAAATAACTACTAAAAATCTGTTTTATCCCACAGTACATATATAAATATGAATTAAATGCCTTGTTTTTCTTGATTGCATATCCTTCACCACCTTTCATGCCAAAGATTTAGCCCAGAGTCATCCAAGGTTGAGAAAAGACGTAGTAGTAATTTCAGTTTAACTTCGGGAGTCACGTTATGTACAATCTCATGCGATACTTTGCATGATCTGTTCGCATCTGCTATAAAATGTGACATATGTCATGAGCGACTGTAAGGTACAATTCACTGAGGAACAACCTTTATTGCGTTTGCTACATTGACGTATCTGTGGTGGCCTTCTTGAACTGGACTGACTCCAAATGGTAATCGGATGTAGATGTACATCCAGTGGTTACTTTCTGAGGCTTTCGTTAATATCCGTCCAGTGGGTCATGAGATATTTTGCTAACAAAACAAACAGGGTTTGACTCTAAGAGTTATAAGCAATGTGTTGTGCTCAAAGTATGTATTGAGGACAGTTCTCAGCTACTACGTTATATTATAGCTCAATATCTGTAAAATTCACCGATGTTAATCAGTTATACAGCCCATAATTACTTGGTGAAAGTATTATTTGAATCTGTTCAGTGGTCCAGCTAGTATTTCACTAACAAACACACAGTATTGGTTTTAATAGTTAATAGCAATATTTTAGTCACAGATCTCGCCCATTACTCATCACTCAGCTTTTACCTTCATCAGCAGAAAACAAATGTAAAAAAAAAAGAACCAGGACTTGAGCTGCTCGACTTTCCCTGCAAAATGTCACTGGGACTGTAAATGAGGTGGAAAATCTAAATCCTTTTCATAAAGATGTTGATCTCGTCACCGCCTCCTGCTGTCATCCTTGTAGTCAGTCAGAGGAGAAGCTTGTTTCTGTCCACTTTGCCAGGGCGACATTTTAACACATTACTCTTCTTTGTTCCAAAACGGGGTGTCAGAATGTCGTGTTTATTTCCCGTAGTGTCCCGTGAGAACAAGCGATAACTGTAGAGAAGCCGCCTAACACGTGAGCTTTGAATGAGGTTTGGCTCTTCTGTGGTCCTGATAACAATCCACCATCACACAGTGCAGGAGGAAAGCAGACATGCTCCGTTTATGTATGAACAGCTTCACCTCAGGGTCATATGGTGCAGAGGTACCGGATGTGTTCCTCGCTTTTATTGTAAATAAATGCAATTA